ACTCTTTCATAATACCTAAACGAGACAAACGTATAGTGGTAGATTTTAATCGTTTTAGAGCTAGGTCGTAATTTGAGGGTAAATTTATAGATATATCCTTCCAGGGCAACTTTACCTCATACCTATCTTCCTCATTAATGGATATCGTATCTTTAAAGAATTGTAATACTTCTTTTTCTCTCTCTGTCTGTTTTCTAACTTCCGGTTCATCTTTAATACCTATAGTTTCTAAACTCCATAGGTCCTCTAAGTTAAATGTACAAGATAAACTAACAAGACTTTCTTCAGCAACATGAAACATATTAGATATTGGGCCTTGTATTGTCCAACCTAGCTTAGTTTCCATAGCAACAAGATTACCATCTACATTTATCATACGCCCAGTAAACAAACTACCTAAAATATCGGCTCCTATCAAAATGCTCACTTCATTTATATCATCAACTATATCATTTAATACATTGCTTTAATGTTACATTCGTATGTATTAGTAGGATCTTTAATAATAAATTGAAATACATTATGTGGTTCCCGTTTCGTAACTACACCGCCGAATAAACTGTGTGAAATATGTACCTGACCACATGGTTTCATTTTCAAATTATTTACCACACTACTTTTTATATAAGAGTGTTGAGCACCCGAATCTAACAGAGCTCGTACTATCATGGTTTTATTATTGTACCACAAATTAATTTTCAAAGTTTGTAATAAAACAGTTGTATTAGTCGGGATCAAAGAAGACTGATTAGATAGAACTTGTGTTTCAGAGCTATTACTGCATTGAATTTGCGAATTAACTATTTTATTATTATCGCACATTAAAGTATAATGCCTCTTTGTACAAATAATACATTTCGGGAATTTCCTACAAGTTTTAGTTATATGTCCCGATTTTAAACAAATAAAACAAGCACGCTTACCTTTTAAAAACTCCTTGCGTTGATCTAAATTCATTTTCATAGCATTCGTACACTCGGAGCTCACATGCGATGGCTTGTCACAGAAAATACAAGGCTTCACGATGCTAGGCTTAGAAATATCATAAGTATTATTGTTACTACTACTAGAACTATCTACACGTGTCGTTAAGCAAGAGGCGGTAAATTTTGAAGAACTACTCTGACTATAAGCTAAATGAGATATTTTAATACGTTCCTCGCTCTCTACTTCTTGCTTAATGAAATTAAGAAGGTCATTTAAAGTGTCAGACTGATCCTTTTTACTAGATTGAGTTCGTTCCCAAATACGAAGCAGTTCTATGGGCATAGCGGACTCGACTAAAGGACGTAACATAGACGCGTATTTATCTGTAGTGACATTCAAACTATCTAAAGCATGCAATTGAGTTTTAAGTTTATCATATAATACTCCAATTGGCGTAGCACTCCCTCTTGATTGATCCAGAACTAGGGACAACAGCTCACGAACATATATTTCAATTAAAAGATCGTCACGACCATATCTTTCTTTTAGTTGTTTTATAGCTTTCTGATAATTAGCACTTGAAGGCGGAAAGCTTTCTACTAGTATTGCGGCAGGAGATCCTGGTTCCATCGATTGCAGCAGGTACTGGAACTTCATATTATTATCTATGCTGGAATCTTCATGGATCTTTTGGAACATCCCCCAGAAGCCTATCCACTTCTTCACATCACCATCATAACGAGGAAGCTGAAGCTTAGGAAGCCGCAAGATATTTTTTACAACGGCATCCTGGGCGCAACTCTCTTGAATTTCACTTCCAATATTACTTTTGCAACTGTTCGTAATATCAAATGCATTTTTATATTTCTTTTGCATCAAAAACCATTTATCATCATACTTCTCAATTGATATAATATCCTCTTCATATTCGCTTTCGTCTCTGTCTACCAAATCTATCCATATATCTAATACTTTATTGTTAATAGCAGACAACTTTTCATATTTGGCGGTAAGATTAGCGAAATTGATTTCGGAGGCATCTTTATCCTTTTTGACTAAAGATTCTTCTAATTTACTTACTGCGCTACTAAAGAATCTTCGGGCCAATTTTCTCTCCTCTATAGCTCTCTGCATATTGTATTATACTGCACGGTCGCCAGTTTATGTGTTGGATAATATATTAATAAAATAATAATTTATAACAATCATATATTTTCTTATGTCATTAAATTTTAACTTTTTTTTTATTTATTTATTTGTGGCCAGCAATAATTATCATAGTCCACAACAGTTCCCATGGCAGTAAGACAGGGAACTAGTTCTCAACCTGTTGCCATTCTTACGGTACTAGGGTGAGTTCTTTTCGGGTTTGTAGCGAATAGAACAAATACTGTTCATTTTGTAAATAATGTATGTGATTACGATTTAGGTAGTGACAAGTTACGAGTTGTCAATAATGCAGTTGCCAAATTAGGAGTTAGTTCAAATAAGTTACCTTTGCGTGAACCAGATCTCTTGAAATCTTTTCTTAATATTGTAAATCGTTTTTACGAGGAGAGTGTCATAATTAACGATGACATTAAAGCAATATATCCTCAGGTTAAAATCCACAACGTATATTGTGATGCGCAACGTTTTACTTGGAGAGACAGTTCTAAAGAACCATTGAAAACCATCTTATGTCTTCAATGATATATGGCGCTGCATCGAGTCCGTTCACGGATTTGTTAATTAATAATAAATCTCGTTATCAGTTTCCTAGAGTCACACACGTCATATTTCATGATCATTATATAGACAACTACATTACGAGTAGGTATAGAGTCTGTTAAGAGATTTACTCGTTTACTAGCTGTTATTCATACATATTGGTAGGTTAATTTTGAGATATTTGATGAACCAAGCGTGCTGTCACTGATATCAAAGTATTTGTGCTTTAATCATTAGATGAGTTTCATGTAGAAGTAGTTAGCGCACCAGTACATGCACTTGGTTTATTATGACTCCCAGGGACGAGTTTATTGACTGACAATACTTATCTTCATTACTTTAATAGAACTATTTGAACTAAATTTAAGTACATAGCTGCATTAAAGCCAACGTTCATCAATTTTTCACATTTACATTTCTTACTCATCTGTGCCAGAACATTTTAGTTGATAGTTTACAAAATTAATTATAACCGCAATTGCGTATAAATTGATTTTTTATATTGCGACTGCGTAGTTTATGTTTACAATTTATACTTTTAAAATACTTGATATATCTAAATTAATTAAATTAAATTATTGTATTTTCTGTCGTTTATAGATATTTTCATTAATGTAACGGCACTAGCTTCGCGCGTTAACGTCTTATATTTGGAATACCCTGATGGTTGAAGATTTAAATATATTTGAGATAGACGTCATATTCAATATTCAAGAAGATGCTTTTAGTAATAAGATTGCTTGTGTTGCTGACCACTGGCCTCTTAAACCTCAAAGTTAACTGTATTATCTCCACAGAATGGTCCTGACACACACTGTTCGTATGTTATTATAGCTGTCTTAGATGTCAGCGACGAAGTCAAGTTTTCTCTTGTTTTAGATAGAGAACATATTAGTAGGTACATACAGATGGTTCTCTGAGTTATGAAGGCAAGAGAGCGATAAGCAACTCCAAAGGTAGTGATCATTACAACATTAGCGGAGGTGGACAGCCTTATCAACAGATTTTTGTCCATGCACTTACATTTTTGAAGCAGTTTCTTGGCAGTCCGACTGAGATTGCGATTTCATTTCACACGCTAACTGGAGGATTGCAGTATGCTTAAGCTTTGGAGTTGATGGGTGAGAGAGTGCTTCCCAAGACTATTATCTCGTCATTCAAACTCAAACTCAGATTTAACTACCACTATTGGAGACATTCTTATAATAGCCGATGGAAACTTTCCCCGAGGTAGATGGCCCCGATGACGTGTGGTTACTTTTTCCCAGAAGAATAGGCTGATGTTCAAACAAGGATGTTCAAGCAGTTGAAGAAACACTAAAACGTTCTTTAAATAAGTTAGTGCCGATAGTGATGTCATAGTTCGTACTTCATATAATTTTTCTTTATGTATAATGAATTACCCAGATTCATTTACTTTTCTTTTAGTATCATTGTTTTGTCATTGTTCCAGTATGAAAGCTAATTTAGTTTAGTTCACTAAATTGAAGACTCTTGTTTTTTTGATCTTTAGACTATGTGCACGACGCACCTCTTTGTATATTATTTATGTATTTTGTCTATTATTTTATATAGAAAAATATATATGACATTGTCATTCTTGTTCTGCTATTGATTATATTTTTGTACATAATATTTTATTATTGCTTCCTAAAACCCATGTTTACATAATTATATCTACCAGCCCCATATATATACAGTCCTTCGTTCACAATTATGTTTTTAAATACAATAGAAACAGTGAAACTCATAAATTCATACAAATGTTTAAATGCTGCGAGGAATAGAACTCACGGTAAAACGAAAGCAGATTGTGCTAAATGGCTAGACCACCGAGAAATTCATTAGCGGGGATTAACCCACAAATGCTTGTGTAGTTAGTTCTTTCGGTTAGTTTGGATCCTAATCAATCCCATATTATAAAATATGTCTCGACTTACGTTGCGTATTATCAAACCCTAACATACCGTAAGTACGAGGACTGCCTGTATTATACGTACGATTCGCCATTGCAACTGTTTAATAGTTCGTACATCACTGCAAAATTGTAAATTTTAATCTATTACAATCGACCTAATTGAAGACCAAGGGGGTCTACAATCTTTTTTATGTAATTGGGATGCAATATTATGTATATTGTACAATAATTTCCATGTGGCGTCCGGTATAGCACTTATGCTTTGCCATTTGGAAGGCATATAATGCATTTTACCCTGATATTTACTACCTTATCACACACTACAACCCAAGGAATAAAATATCTTAACTTTATTTATTAGTATACCTTCATGGAATGTCTATCAAACTATCAATATTGAACAGTCTACTCTAGACACAATAATAAATGACATAACCAATTGCATTTCAATAAACGTAATATTTATTTATTTACACTCTAGTACTACATCTATAATAACACAAAACTTACACACGAGGATAATATGTGGTCTCAAATTTCTGTTTATGTTTTGGATATGGCCTGACTGCTTTAGGTATGTATGGAGGAAGATGTTCATCTAAACGCCTTTTGAATGGATTAATGTCTAATTCAAATGGCCTTCGTTTTGCTTCAAAGAACCTAGTTTTGTGTTGAATTTTATAGATTCTTTCCCATAAATATATTTCAGGTAACAACAAATGTTTAGGTCTGTTTGAAACTAAATGCTTGTATCTTTTTTCTAGCCAACATCGTTTATTGTCATCTTCAATATCAGCAACTACCTGCTCCTCTTTCCCCAAATATGGTTTCATATCATACTCGCGCTCTTCTGGTGTATTTAAATAAAATTGTACTAATATTTTTAGGACATCTTCATTAAGACCTTGAACTCTCCCATTTTCTATTGTTTCATATAATTTCAAAGGTTTAGTACCAAAACAAATATTATGTTTGGGGTTTTCATCCATTTTTTCATTGTGCATAACAATTGTATTTAGTTGGTAGGCATAAAATGACCACAATTGGCCATCAGTTATAACTGTTTGAGTTACTAAGGGATAAGTCAGATCATTATAAGTAGTGAAGCCCTGGTAATTAGCTTGAGCTAAAAGCCAACCAAAGCTAGCTAACATAGCTTGACAATTTAAGGCTTCTAAATTATCTTCAGCACCAAATGACACATTTCTGTCTAGAATATGACCACGCCCATGAAAAGATAGTAATCCAAACTCATCATGATCACCAGGCCAATAACCTGTAATTTAAAAAAATAAGTTATTAATACAAGGAATTCAAGACATACCTTAAGAAATAGAAGGTGGCTACACTGAACCATCTTCTGTCAGTAAAACAGAATATGTTTTACTGGATCATAATGGATATGTGCACCTTCCTGCGTTAATGCTTTATGCTGGACCAGTGGAGGGTGATAAGATGACCAAGATATCAGGTCAGTTAGTCCAGAATGACAAATTCAACAAGAATTTATCACAATGGTTTACAGGTTTCACGTGGGTCAACGTGATATAGTAATTGCTAGCAATGGGGTCAACAGTCCACATTACCAAACTTCTTTCCCCCAGTTAAAATATATTTTCAATATGTATAATCAATACATACTATATAATAAAATATAATAATAATAAAAGCCTTTATTTACTGTTAACATTACATTACAAATTTACAGCAGTAACTGCGGTCCTGTTAGTCTATGATTTTTTTTCCCACATCAATATACTATATATACTCTATACATAAATAAAATTTTAGTTGTGACTTCGTCCATTTAATTTTAGTCACAACTAAAATTAAAAGGTCACACACTAAGGAGAAATATGAGATTATGAGATGGATGAAAACTGTAACTGAGTAGATTCCTAGTTATAAAATGAAACGAAAAAGAGGAAGACAGTACAAGAGATGGTCTGATGACCTTAGAAACATTGCCGGCCCAATGTGGCTCTGACTGTTCTGCAGAATTAAAAGTAACATAAAACATATATAACTAATGTTTCTTTTATCTTTTAAGTAAATATTTTGTTAGCTTGTATAATTATGTGTCAATTAATAAAGGCTTTGAATTTGAATTTGAACTACATGCATATGAATATAAATAAGGTACTTACACCAAAATATTTTTTTTTATAATATTTGTCTGTCTGTTTGGACTAATCTCTGAAATGGCTGGACCGATTTTGACGGGACCTTTATTGGCAGGTAGCTGATGTAATAAGGAGTAACATAGGCTACTTTTATTTTAGAAAAATAAGGATATATTCCATGCAGACGAAGTCTCGGGTACAGCTAGTCTAAAAATATATATGTCAAAGGTGACTGACATAGTGATCTATCAACGCACAGCCCAAACCACTGGACAGATCGGGCTGAAATTTGGCATGCAGGTAGATGTTATGACGTAAGCATCCGCTAAGAAAGGAAATAAAAGTAAATCCGCAAAAACTATACCTAATTAATAATAATACATCTTAACGCGAGCAAAGCCGTGGGCAAAAGATAATAATAGATATAATTACCAGGAATATTTGTTCCATGTCTGTTTTCAGAAAAGTAACCTATTGTTTCAGGTCTATATGTAAACTTAGGTACTTTGTATTCTGGCTTTTCTGTCTCACTGTACTCTACAATTGGTTTTAATGGTAGCTGGCTTCTTATTGCTAAAAACGGTGTTCCTGAAGACAATACATATATTTAGTAAAAATAACTATTATTCCATTATCTTATAATGCATTTTTTGTAAAACATAGATCCATAATGAATATATTTTAACTAAGTACATATAAAAATATTATTAAGAATTTACATACCTAAATATTGTGCTGGTCTATCAACAGGATCATGAAGATGATCCTTTAGCCAGGGATATTTTTGCCTCCATTTGATTACACTAAATGGGACATCAACTCCACCAACAAACCAAAATGCCTCATGACGGGCATCATAATCAACCTGAAGTGACAAGTAATTGAATAATAATGAAATATTTGATTTTAACATAGCAATTTAAATTGGATTTACATTATGAAGAATATGTTTACATTGTGAAGTCAACCCAAAATTGGGATTTCAAAATTACATATATTCATTGTAAATAATAAATTTAGTCTATAAGAATATGAAAAATAGATTGCCAGACAACTCTATCTATAATAAGAAGAGTGTAGAAATGGTATACCACCATGGGTGGTGTAGTGAAATTTGAAACAAATAACATATCTAATGAATATTGGATTGTATGTAGATTGTAAATGCAGACTCACACATGCTTATGAAACCAAGTATGAGTGGCTCTACAAATAAGTTTGTAATTTTAAAGCAGAACATTGATATGCAAGGCATATCATGCCTGGTCGAGGTACCACGGATGCCATTTTTGCACTACGCCAGCTGTGCGAAAAATACCGGAGTGTAAATAAAAATTTGCATATGGTATTTGTCGATCTCGAAAAGGCATACGACCGAATTCCCCGTCTAGTTTTGTGGTGGGCCCTAAAGAAGAAAGGTGTACCAGGGAAGTATGTAGATCTGATACGTGCCATGTACATTCGGTCTAACACATAAGTCCGATCGGCGGTAGGTGCCTCCGATAAGTTCAGTGTGGCGGTAGGCTTACACCAGGGTTCGGCTCTAAGCCCTTACCTCTTCCTCATTGTAATGGATACTCTGACATCGGACATTCAGGACGAGGTACCCTGGTGTATGCTGTTTGCCGACGATATTGTGCTTGTTGGTGAGGATGGAATCGAGGTCCAGAGTAGACTAGATAGATGGCAAGAAAAACTGGAGAGTGTTGGCTTGAAGATCAGCAGAACTAAAACTGAATACCTATTCTGCGATTTCGGCGGTCTCTCCAGTTTCAAGCCTATCTATCTAAACGGTGTAATGCTTCCGGTCTGCTCCGATTTTCCGTACCTCGGTTCGGTTATTCAGAACAATGCCGACATAGACCGCGATGTAAGGCACAGAATTAGTGCGGGATGGATGAAATGGCGACAGGTCTCGGGAACGATATGCGACCCCCGAATGCCCTTGAAACTAAAGGGTAAAGTTTATAAATCTATCATAAGACCTGTCATTTTGTATGGATCTGAATGTTGGGCCGTAAAGGGGATGGACGAAAGGCGTGTGCATGTGGCAGAAATGCGAATGTTAAGATGGATGTGTGGGGTTACCAGGAATGACAGAATAAGGAATGAGTATATACGAGGAAGTTTGAAAGTTGCGCCGGTTATAGAAAAGTTGCGAGGTAACAGATTGAGCTGGTATGGGCATGTTATGCGGAGGAATGAGGACCATGTCTTATGGAAAGTGTATAATATGAATGTGGATGGATGTAAAGGGAGGGGACGGCCTAAGAAAAGATGGATGGATTGTGTGAAAGATGATATGAATAAAAGAAGAGTATGTTTAGATATGACGACTGATAGAGAGCAGTGGAAGAGAATGACATACTGCGCCGACCCCAAATAATGGGATAAAGGCAAGGCAATGATGATTGATATGCAAGGCAATGTACACAAAAATTATATATACACATTAAAAATATAGGATTGGACTAAAAGATTTGAAGGACAATTTTATTAAATATTGCTATGCATTATTACAACTCTCATTGTGTGACAGTCCTGCAGAATGTGGGATGATTGAAAACTGCAAGTATATGCTAGTCTTCTGGTCAGTCTTGTTGGTAAAAAATTAACATACCTGAGCAGATAAATTATGGCTAGTTTTATCTGCAAGGTTATTAGAAATAATCCTGTTGATTTGTCTTGTTAAAACTTTAGCAAAAGCATCTGACTTTTGTGATTTTAAAGGGTTTCCTGGTGTCACAGCAAAGTTACGTCTGAAATATTTATAATTATAAGAGGCCAGTTTTTATAACTCTCACTATATAAAAAACTATAAAATTTATTTCAACCTTATTTTCCTAAAATGTAAGAAATTAGAAATATGTCTATATCAAAGAAAACTTAACATAAGTTATTATAAAAAGAGCAATATAAACTTGAATATAATTCGTGACTTCAACATAGAACTATTACATACTGCATAAATAACTATGTAACACTTACTCAACCCCCTCATGCTCTATACAAATAGCATCCTCAATAAGACTTTTTATTTCTTTCACTACTGAATCAGCTGTCAAAGCTGTTTCTGAGTAAGCTTCAGGAAGTTTGTCTATTGGTACAAAATGACTTCTTGTATAGCACTGTATCATTGGCATAGCATTATAAGGTATTTTATTTTCATGTAGCATGACACATTTCCAACCATAATAGCGTGGCATATTTAAAGCTATCTGTTTTTCCTCCACTGTATTTATATTTCTAATATTTTCATGAAGTTTTTCTCTTTCTCTTAATTTCCGGCCTTGGAGTGATGTATCTACTATAGCAGGATATTCAGGTATTTCAGTATATTCATTTTGATCGAGTATTGCGGGTTGAGAGTACCCGCGTACAATACATTTTTCAAGTTTTGGATATATTCTATGAATTTTGAATAAATACATACTTCCTGAATATAAAATTAAACAAGACTATATTATTGTAAAACTGATTGCTGATAATTTAATTAAACGACGCTTTTCAGTTTATATAATTCCATGAAAAATAAGAATAACATGCACTTCTCTTATACTCCCTGACATTTCATTCAATACAGTTTAGTTTTGTCTGTCAGTGTCAATTTTTTGACTGAGTTTTGACACTTGTCACAAAGAAAATTTACTACTTATTGGGAGGTATATGTAGGAATATATTTATAATCTGAAGTTTAAAAAACCTTTTTAGGAAGTACTCCAGCATTTTAGCATTTTACACAAATTATATGAATAAAAATATTTTTTGAAATTGGTAAAATGATGTTAGTCAAGCAGTTACCTCTATCACGTGGAAATTATAATAAACAATTTTCTTACCAAAATAAAAATAGATAAATAGAAGTAGTAAAATGCAGTGTTTATCAGTGTAATTTATAAAACATAATATTACATTTAAATTTCATTAAATACTGTGTTAAATGGGGAAATTAATTCGTTGAAACGAATCAATACCATAGGTGTATATTGAATATATAATATCTGGGTATATCAAATGAACCATCCTAAATATATAGTATTTTTGTTCATATGATAATGATGTGATTTTTAATAATTCTGAATGTATAATAACTATAAATTTAGCACTTTAATAAGTTTTAGCAAATTTTATCTGCCAATATGAAGGACGTAGCAAAATCACGAATTTAATTCTGGTCACACTGCATTATTAATACTTGCCAATTTTTAATTCTAACCAAACAATTACCTTTTAGTATTGAAAAGCTTGTGCAATAAATCATGGATGACGACATGGTATTTGATCCATCTCTAAAGAAGAAGAAGAAGAAGAAAACTGGTTTTGATATGGATGCTGCACTTGCTGAACAGGGCGAAAGCGCAAGCATGGAGGTACCAGTGGAGACAGGTGACGTAGACGTGCCTGAGGATGATAACCTTGATTTAGATAACTTTGGTAAGAAAAAAAAGAAGAAAAAGAAGACATTCTTCAATTTGGAAGAAATAGAGAACGCTTTGCCCGAGACACCACCTACTGAAGAACCAGAACCCCAGGAAGTTGAAGATATTGATGATCTGGACTTAGATATAGATTTCTCAAAGACGAAGAAGAAAAAGAAGAAGAAAAATAATCTTGATGAACATGTAGTCGAAGATGACAATAAGGGGGAAGATCAGGAAAACATCGAAGATATACATGGAGACTGGGTTGGTAGTGATCGCGACTACACTTATGACGAATTGCTTGAGCGTGTATTTGACATCATGCGTGAAAAAAATCCAAGCATGGTGTCTGGTAAAAAGCAAAAGTTTATTATGAGGCCTCCTCAAGTTGTACGAATTGGTACAAAAAAGACCTCTTTTGCAAACTTTACAGAAATTTGCAAAACATTGCATCGACAGCCAAAACATTTATTAGACTTTTTATTGGCAGAGTTGGGCACTAGTGGTTCTGTTGATGGTAATAGTCAGTTAATCATTAAGGGTCGTTTCCAGCAAAAACAAATAGAAAATGTACTCCGCCGATATATCAAGGAGTATGTAACATGTCATACATGTCGCTCACCAGATACAATTTTGCAAAAAGATACCAGGTTGTTCTTCTTGCAATGTGAAACTTGTGGGTCTCGTTGCTCTGTGGCCAGCATCAAATCTGGGTTCCAGGCTGTCACTGGTAAACGTGCTGCCATTCGTGCAAAGACTGCATAAAGTAGTGCTTAGTTATAAACTAATTTTACACATGAAGGTCTGGGGTACATTCAGTTACGATTATATTTTATTGTACCTTTTAGCATCAAAGCCTATAAACCCAATTGGATGTAGTGCAGATTTTTCTATAGGTTTCTTTTACTTTTACTACAAAGCACCATGTTGCCTGTTTATAAAGAGAGTCATGCCTAATATTGAGAGAGATTTAGGGTGTTATGATGATGTATCAAAAGTAATCAGAATTTGATGTTGCTTTTCATTCTTGGAAACATTGAATTCACAACATTTAAATGAATTAATACATTTTGGTAGTACTGTAAATTCTGCTATTGATTAACTACTTTTATCTGCATTTCATTGTTATGTTAAATATTTATTTGTAACACTTATTTGTATAGGTTTAATAAATAAATTGACTGAACAGAATTATTAAACTTCAATGCTCAAATAAGAAATATTATTATTAAATAAGAAATTCTATTATCTGTATGTATCCCAGTCTGAAGTAAAACCATATATTTATGTATAGCTCACATCTAAAATATCCTCATTAATACACAATGTTTATACATAATTGTTTAATTTATATTCCTTTAGTAACAAACATAACAAAATAAAAGAAGTAGTAAAAAAATATACATTAATTATTTTTAATTACTTGAGGTTCAAAATCATGTTTAACAGCATTCTGGAGACTATCAGCATACAAGTCAAGACGTTGAGTCATAGTAAATCCCCATTTATCTTTTATTTGTCTGCAAAGGTTTAAATCTAATTGTGCTATCAATAAACCATCTTTCGTTCGGGATAAACCAGGTGACCTTGATCCATCAGGTGCTGTTACATAGCTTGAACCATAAAAGTGACCAAATTCTTTGTGAGCTGGCTTGCCATCTCCAGATGTAAATTCATTAGGGAAACTTTCAGTCCCTACTCTATTAATTGCACATGTGAAGTAACTGTTAGCAATGGCTGCATTACGTGCTTCTACTCCCCATAAGTGTTCACTCAATCCAGCAACAGTTGCAGATGGATTGAAAACAATTTCTGCCCCATTAATTCCAAACATAAGCCAATTAAGTGGATGGTGACGTCCATAGCATATATTTATAGCTACTTTCCCAAACTTCGTTTCAAATACTGGGTGACCAGTGTTTCCTTCAAAATAATATGTAGATTCATTGAAATCACCTACTCTAGGTATATGATTCTTTCTATGTTTCCCAATAACACTGCCACTTTCATTTATAACCACTGCTGTATTCCATATAGTATCTCCATGTGTTTCATCTCTTTCTAAAATAGGAGATATAATGACCATGCCATACCTAGTTGCATATTCTCTTAGAAACTGGTAACTTGGTCCATTGTGTGCAGATTCAGCAAATTCACACCATGGCTGTTTTTCTCGTGTACAAAATGCAAATGGCATACTCCAAGCTTCTTGTAAACAAAGTATATTTACACCCTCGTCACCAGCTGCTTCAATAATCATACTTATTTTTTCAAAAATGGCCTGTCTTTGTTCTACAATAGATTTATCAGTAGAAACGGCAATTGAATGTTGAATTATGCCCACTCTAATAATGCGAGGGCTTCTGGTTTCTTCTTTTTTTGTCGGAAAATTGTATGCAGCTATATCAAAATTCTGATTTTTGGTAGTTACAGGAAGTTCATGATGTTCAGTCCTCCCATAATATATCCTATTAAATTCCTTTAAGGTGTCACCAGATAATGCATTAGTCAATGACTTGTCTAGACTGGAAAGTTCTATTGTTGATGCCATGATTTAATTAATCTATTGCAACGATTCGAATGTACTTAATTGTATATAACTTGAAGAGAAGCCTATACAAAACACAATTTTTTATCAGTTCAATATTACATTACAGTCTATATGAAAAAAGAACTATTATATACCTACGTTTTAACTACAAGAGTTGGCACTGTTCTTATCGTTATCTGTCGTCAGTGTCACAGTATGTAAAGTTGTAAAATATATTATACATAATTAATTACATATATAATATTTATATACTTTGATACAGAGACCTAAATAAGGCCATTAGGCCAATAATGTTTCTGACATCGACTGTCATCGACCTTTCCTATTCGATATTTATAGAGCGATGTTAATATCGATCATACCTAACGTAAATAACTATAAATAATGTTATTCGTAACGATTATTTTACGATTTATGAATGTAATCAGCTGGCGTATTATGACCTCTTATTCCCAGGCAGTTTACGGCTTAAACTGAACTGCAGAACTGAAATAGGTATATGTAGATAACAATTAGTAGGAATTTGTGGTTAGCTTAGATGTATACATAGCGGCAGTGCGATATACTAAAAGGGGCTGTAGTAGTGGCAAACATCGCGATTTCTTTATATAAATAAAATAAATTGTAAGGAAAATGACACGATAAGTACACAGTTATCTTTACTATCAACTAACACATGAGCCAGCATACTTTAGGCAATATAAATTATTACTACTCGATGTATTTATATTATTTTGTTTAATTCCGCTACAATTAACATGTTTGAGGCTACCAATATTCGGTGGGAAACAACTACCATAACTGAGAAGTTGTCTGTGCGCCCGGGCGTCACAGTATAGTAATACTGTTGTGAGAAGTTTGTAGCTGATACTGGCACAACACTACTCAGTTGATCGCCATTTTAACAAAACAATATATCTTGTCAAATTATATTGCTTGTCCCTTTATATTATATACCTACATTAAATAGACTATTTACAAAACAAGTCGTTTTTCAATGATCACGCATATTAAGAACAAATATTATAGATCAGACACATTCAGAACTGTTGGTAAAGTTGGCATCCCTGACTCAGAACTCTATAATTGTGTATCTGTCTTCCTGTGCCTATGGTATCTCTCCCCGTCTGTCTACGGAATAAAATACTTGAAGAAACTACCAATATTGTTTATTGTATTTTATTGTTGTTTACTATGAGTTGCATTTATTGGTTTTGTTCTATATAAGAAATTTAAGTTGTATTTAGTATGTGTCGTTGTTTTCTTTGATTTAGATAAATAATTAAAAAAATATTTAGTTTTTCATTCAACGCAGTTAGCGTTGCTAGCGTATATTTGTAGATCACCTGTAGCTGAATGGTAATTTTAATTTGTGGATTATAAAGTATCTATTCAAAATGAATGTTTTACCCGCTCAACCAATTGGTATACAAAGTACAGCAGGGGCTGTACCTATTCGCAATGAAAAAGGTAACCGTAATCGCTAATTCATATTTATTTTCTCATTATGCATAAATGTATAAATATCGTAACCCCAGGACGTCGTCTACTGCGTCACCTAATAGTTATGGGGCAGCTACTGTTATTAATATTTTTCATAATATGTAAAACAAGTTATTTAGCAAATTGCTCTAACTCTATGGGACTACAACGAAATACACGACGAAGGGTTAAAGAGTGTTCTGCATGTACAAGCAACCGCACTTGTGTGGCTATTCTACTAGATATGATCCGTACATAGTATACATGGTTTCAAGTACTTATTGCTCTACATATTGTATCACTATTCATGGGTAACAGGTAGACAAATAACTAAAACATACTTATTTACGGTGGCACACATTTATCAAAACAATTGATAACATTAAATAAAATAAATGATAATGATGAAATTAACTGTGAAAGAATTTTTAAAATTACATGTAAAGTACATTAAATTAGTATAAGGGATGTTTACATGTTAAAGACTGCATGCCCACCGGTTGGTCACTCCGCAACAAAAGTAAATTTACATGTTGGGTCCAGGTGATCACCCGTGGTCACTTTAATTGAAATAAATGTAGTAGTTAAATAAATCACTAGATTAAATCAAAGTGTCTATTTTAAATTATTGTACAATAAAAATAAATACCAGCCCCTATGTTATTATTTTTAATCCTAGACCATAAAAAATCATAGTTGGTCTTGCCTATTTCAGTCACAACTAGCTTGCTTTGACCACTGTCTTTTGCTTATATGGTCAGATTACAGGATAAGGCAAGCAAAAAAATCTTAGTGTTCCAGAGTCATGTCACATAATCAATGTTGTCACATAATAGTATGTCTATTGTGATGTTCATGTACTTGTATAGGTGATAGTTACCACATACTATTGGTGGGCTCTCTGCTTATTTGCCTTTTTTATTACATAATAAAATACATTAGTAGTATGTATGTAAAAGTAAACTTTAAACATATATGAAATGCATGAACTTGTTGGGTTATTATTGTTTTTTCAATCTTTTTCAGGTGAAATATCTATGAAAAAGGTCAAAGTCCAGCGGTATATATCAGGAAAAAAGCCAGATTATGCCCAAGGTGTGTCATCATCTGAAGAATCAGAAACAGAGGATTTTATAGAACAGCAGAGACCAGAGCGAAGGCAAATATTACCACAAGTAATTTATCAAAAAGATGAGACCCACAGTGATTCAGAGAAAGAGGTCAGTTAACACAATTTATTGCTAGTTTAGCTAATAGTTTTCACAGTGAAGTGGTGAAATTGACATCCATAATATTTGTGTCCACAATGTAGGTAACTTTGTGTAGGTTGTGATAAAAATAATAAAAATAAAAATGTATATTTATTAAAACAATGTTTGTAATAAAACTACATTTTTATTTTTGTATGAAATAAATATTATTCCCTTTTAAAAAATAACAATGTCATATCAATATGTTATTAATATTATGTTACAGTTCTTGTATGTCCTTTCTGATTGACTCTGTAGGGTCATTGTAAATGATACTAATCCCTCCATATATACATGATTCAAGTTTACCTTAAACTTTATTTTCTTGCAAGTGGCACCTTATACACCTTTTATATTTATTGTTGCTTATTCACATATTCTATTCTACAACATCTGTGAAATGTATATATTGTAAGGAAGTATATTAGCCAAAGTTTTATTATTATATATAATATAAAGAATTTCATATTCCCTCATGAACCTTTAGGTTGATGATCCTCGCTTACGTCGTCTGCGTATGGCGACACATTCGCCATCACGTCGTGCAGAACACAAACCGGAGATTATTGATGCTGAACCTGAACCAGAATCGGAGTCTAGTGCTGAAGAGGCTAAATATAGTTCGGAGAGTGAAGATGAACTTGATGAAGAGGAGATTGAAAGACGACGTCAAGCTCTCAAAGCTAAACTTGCTGCCAGGTAATTTTAGCGTATTTGTAAGATTTATTGGATCAATAATTACTGAGTACTGATTAAATGCAAAATAAATGTGCTCTAATACTGCCTGTATTGGTCTCATCATCAAATAGCTTTCAAGGAGGGATATTCATTATGTATAGTTATGTTAAAATACTTATATATAATTCTATATTGAATTTTTATTATATATAATTGTATATTAATTTATATTTTTTAGGGAAGCAGAGAAAGAAGTGCTTGGTAGAGATGATGATGAAGAAATGTTGGATGGAGACAAAGAAGAGAGTGGCTCGTCTGATATGGAATATACAGACAGTGAGGAAGATACAGGTAATTTCCTATATCAATTCAATTATTTATAATGAATATGGTAAATATGGTGTTGCAATAAGAAATCCTGCTTCCTTCTATAAAATTTGAATTTGGATGTTTGTAACACAATTACATTTAAAAAGCTTAACAGAATTAGTTGAATTTTGAAGAACTTTGGTGCAAAGAGTAATCATTTTCTATGTGTAGAGATATCAAAGGAATGGTTAAACAATTTAATAAGATTCAATAAAAACATTGTATCATTTATAAAATGCACACTACTAGTATGCATTTGAAATAAAACCCAAGATAAAGTTGATACAATTTGTCACAATAATATTTTAATAGTTTTAGTACATTATGTATGGAGTGTTTGCTGCTGTTTTAATTTGACATTAATTCTACATAGGCCCTAGAGTTAAACCTGTATTTGTTCGAGCATCCGAACGTATGACAGTTGCTGAGAGGGAACGCAAATTGAAACTTCAAAAGAAAGAAGAAAGTGAAGCAAGAAAAGAAAAAGAAGAACGAAGACGAGAGGCTTTGAAACTTGTAGAGGATACAATAAGGCTTGAACAAAGGAACACTCAGGTCACTGTACTTATAATTAAAAAACTGTGTACCCCATTTGTTTTTTATCTAGTATATAGGTCAGATATTATGATTTTTAGAGTAACAAGGGTTTATACCTTTTTTATTTGTGAACCAATTTGAATGAAATAATCAGGAAATGTTACAGGGATTTAGTACAATATGTATATCTGTGAAGTGATTAAATAAACACATAGATAAACAGAATAAAAATTTAATAAACATTTTTTTCAACCTTGACCACATAAGTATTTAGTAATCTTTTATTGTAAATAAAATATGAAAATGTACAGTGCTCGTTTGTAAATTTCTTATTTGTGTTATTACAGGCTGAACAGAAAGAGGGTAATATTAATGATGTGTGCACTGATGATGAGAATGACGAATTAGAGTATGAGGCTTGGAAACTACGTGAAATGAAGAGAATAAAACGTGACAAGGAAGAGAGAGAGACGTAAGTTAATTTTATAGTATTATTATTAATATACTAATTTGTTTATTTAACAATAGGAAAACAAATGTATTAACAATTATAATATAAACATAATAATTTATAAATTGTAAATATAAAAGATTTTTTTTTGGAGATGAATATTTACATTCATGTATACTATATATATATGTATGTATTCATGTAGACATCCTAATATGTATAAATAAACTTTTTATATTTATAGATATTTGATTATATTTTGTATTTATTTCTGTAGTGCGCAATAAAGAGTTTATATTATTATTACTTTAATTTCATAAAATATCTTTCGCAGTATGGAGAAAGAGTTGCTATCGATTGAGCGTGTCCGTAATATGACGGAAGAAGAGCGACGTGTTGAACAAAGATTGAATCCGAAACTGGTAACGAACAAATCAATCAAGGGCAAGTACAAATTTCTACAGAAGTATTACCACAGGTTAGTTATCTATATTACTTTTGTTTAAGCTTGTAAATATAGTATGTATAGTATGAAAACTTTATTATGACATTGAACTTTCCTTACGGCAATCAATTTCGTTGGATTAAATTTATTGTTCCCAAGAGTATATAGAATATTGCTATTGTTAGTCAACGACTAAAAGTCTCTGGTTACCTAATTTTAAATCTAATCATCTATTTAGGCAATTTGTGCGTTATGTTTTGAATTTTGATTATGAGGCTTGTCTCTGGGAGTTTAATTGTTCGACTGAAAAAGCATCTGCTACGTCTAAAATATTATATTGTGTGAAGTTCATAGTAATCTATAGGCGACCGTATCCACTTTCCATTATGTACGTAATGACTATCTGGATTAAAACTTTTTTTAATTTCAAAAGATTGCACTTTGACTAACACTGCTCTTTGTTGTTTTTTAGAGGTGCATTTTACTTGGATAAAGAAGATGAAGTATTCAAGCAAGACTTTTCTGGACCGACGCTCGATGATCATTTCGATAAGACTGTTTTGCCAAAGGTAATAATGTCGTAGACTTATTTTGAATTACGGTACTAACAACATCCTTCAAATTAATTTTAGAGCGAGTAAATCTAACAAACGAGCGAAGTAACAATAATTATGTCAATGGATTAGTCTTGTGTAATTTTTTTCAAATATGGCTTGGCTGGTTACTTCAGTAGTCTGGCTGTACACGCACAACGGGCTAAATGAGAGGCTAATTGTGGCGACTGGAGTCCAATTTACATTTACATGCCTCTCTAACAATAACATAAAATGTATATTAGGCATACAATGATTAAAAATATAATTTCAGGTAATGCAAGTAAAGAAATTTGGCCGATCTGGCCGCACGAAGTACACTCATCTTGTAGATCAGGACACCACGGAATTCGACTCCGCCTGGAGCAACGAAGGAGCGGCGGCTAGACTAGCTAACTATAGAGGTGGCATGAAACAAGTCTTTGACCGCCCGTCGGCCAGGAGGAAACATAATGTGTAATTTGAATGTTTTTATAGTAGAAAATGAGAGACTTGGAAGTGTTTATATATTATATTGTAAATATTATTAAGGCTTTTTAATATAGATCATCATTAAATATACATGTAAATTTAATAAACTATTTTTTTTATTACCGTTTGACAACTATGGCTGTCTAATAGCAATATTAGAGAAAATATTCAATATTTGTTTTATAAGCAAAATCATTAATATTATACTTTCGTGTTTAATACACATTATTTATAAACACCGGGTTAAGAGAAGTAAATAACTAAATTTACCATAAAATTATTTCTATTAACATTCGGTTAACATTATAAAGAACCAAAATGATTACAACAAGCATACTTTACTATTAATTTCTCAGGTACTCACTGATGTCAATTAGAGCTTAAGACTATGCCGATATTATATAACTTAACTTGATAACGCATAGACATGGTATGATGGAGCTGGAACATGGCGATAGCACTAAATATCCCAATTAATAAAATAATCCCAATGGGGGAAGGGAAATGTTAGTAATGTGGACTAATGACCCCATATGTCAGGGTGACCTTCACGTGATACGTTTCCAGGGGGAATCACGTGGTGGTATTCCTGGTGAATTTTCCAAGATGGGCTAACTGACCTGACTTCCTGCTGATCCTATCATCCTTCATTGATGCCCCGCCAACGTAAACCTTTAGCGCAGGTGGGTGGTTGTTATCATTATATTAAAAAAAAACCATTTAATTTGGTTTAACAAGTAGGCCCCATACACATCTATGTGTATGGGGTAACTATCATAATTTTGTTGTTGCTTTCTCCAGAAAGAACACCAAAATTACCACTTTTAAAATACATATTGTTATTTATGTAACTGTAATGATAAAGAAGCTGACGACTCACCTGATAGTAAATGGCAACCATCCCCTCTATAAATGAATGACACTGTGAGCATCACGTTATCATGCGATGCCCTTGAATTATTTGTCTCTCCGGATGACAAAGGTACCTCTTATCCTGTCTTTTCCTCCTAATTTCTCTGCCTTATCTCACACTTCAACGATACACAGCTTACAAAGCAAGTTGCTAGGAGGGTGAAATATGTAGACAGAGATAACTCCCATAGACGACATTTTAAAAGTCTATCCAGATCAATCGATGTATAATAATGAAATGATATTAGATAAATTGAATTTGAATTAAATGATAGAAATAGAAATAGTCTTTATTCAAGAAACTTGTGTGTTGCTCTTTATAATATAATAGCAGCAATTATTTGAGTATCTCAGAAACCTACGAACTGTCTGTAAACCTCGTTTCAGAGAGTAAAATAAAAGTTGAGCTTTGTGTAGATGATAAAACTTTTGTCCCCGAGTGCCCATTAAAAGATATTAGGGCGTGCACAAGGGTTAAATTTGCGTGCCCTCTTATCAGTACTTTTCAGTCGTCAAAAATGTTTGCGAGTTTCTTCTTCACTAGGGGACTACAAATGATGTAAAATATTGTGATTATTTAATTGTAGGTAGGTTATTTTTTTCGCGAGGATTTTGGTACAGACTAAAATACTTCGTTACTTTTACATTTCTTGTAATCTACAAGTATTGTAATTTGTAGGAGGTCTATGTAATAGAAAAATACTTTTATACTACTTAGATAGTTTAATTTGTTAATTAGATTTTATAAGGAATTAACGTAAATGATACAACATGAACAGTAACATAACCTAAAAGTTAGAAATAAAAACATACCTAAGCAAAATTAACATCATAAAAATTTTAATCTATATTTTGGGACATTTGGCAACACCAGGTAAATCGGAATCTTGATAATGTTTGGGGTCTGGATGGGGGCCTGTGCGGCTCTTGATATCATATGTGAGTCGCCATATACGGCCGCATTTTGGCGCGTTTCTATTGAAGTAACTGTCTGTAAGCCTCCATCCATATTCCCATCCACTACATTCTCTAAAGTAATATTTCTGTTCTGGTGGTATACGGCACCTACTTTTCAAATAAGCATTACGCCCAAATACAGGAATATCTTTATAAATTATTTCATACTGTTTTGGATCTACAGGCCGCATGATCGGGTCAATAGACAGATCTGTACTAGGTCGTGTAAGTCTAGGGTCTATCTCAGCGTTACCGAGTCCCACATCCGTTATAGAATGTCCTCTTTTTAGAACACGTGTCCGCGGAATGTGTACACCATCTCTAATAGGCCTGAGTCTCCTATTAGAACTCGCAACTGCGTTGTCTCTGGTTATAGTTGTCATTCCTACGACCATACTTTCTTTTAAAACATCCGTTTCATAATATCCCTTTTCTTCACGAGTTAGACTCGCAGCTTTCTTCATTTTCTCTCCATGAACATGGTTCCATTTCATTCGAAGACGTGCGGTCTTGTCATAACTCTCAATGAGAAATTTGATAACATCAGGGTTTGTAATATCTATAAGAGGCATTTTGTTTTATACTTTTAAATAAGTAATTATCATTACGAAATTAAATACTTAAAACTCTTAATAAAAAATATTGACAAGTGACAGAAATTTTGAAAAAAAAAAATAGGGAATGCTACAAAGGAACTAAATAATTTATATTATAAACGTATTCCATGTTGAATGAACAAAGGAGTAATAAATTCTGTCATTGTTCTCGTATTTTATTAAAAATATCCATTAAAATCTAGGTAATTTTCTCGGAATATCTCCCAATTCAACAGGTTATGGGCTAATAACTACAAATAATATAAAATATATTAATATTTACATAAAATATAATAATTAAAATTAAAAACATTAAAAATGGCGAGATCGGGTAATAGTAATGAAGACCACATAACAAGACTAGTAGATAATGAATCGTATAATATCTGGAAGTTCGAGATAAAAATAATACTAAAAGCCAAAGGATTATTTGAAATAATAGCAAGCAATAATGAATTGAAAAAAGATGGCGACTGGGAAAGAAATGTTCGTATTTTATTAAAAATATCCATTAAAACATATGAAATCTGGATCAGAGTTCAGAGACGTCGCCGAGTAATGAGGGTGGCTAGATGCTATTAAAAAGAACATTTTAGCTTTTTATATAATATATTACTGTTGCGATTAAAATAATAAATGTATCCAGAGTCGTAAAAACATAGAATAGTAAAAAAACTACCGAGCTCGTTTGTCGGTGTAAAAAGTTAGCGCGTTATTATTTTTGTAATTGACGGTTCTTAACCACGTTTGTCGAAGGAATTAGTTATATACAGTGTTATTTGTTTATTAACGAAGAAATAAAAAAAGCATGAGACTGATCTACTGAAAAGTAAGCACCTGTTATCCAATTTGGCGGTAGACATGTACCTAACTTGTTTCAAGAAGTCGGACAAGCTCGAAGTTCCTAGAATCCAAAACCGAACCTGCAGTCATCACAGTCCATGGAGAGTGCTTTATCAACCTCTTGTTCATAATACTTGTGTCGTATATTTCAGAGTCCACTATAGAACTATAAACAGTAAAATCAAACTAATGCCAGTTGCTTTCATAAGAACAATTTATATTTCGAAACAAATCAATTACGACTTACGAATCTGACCGATAATATAAAAAATACTACTTTTTTATAAATACAATTTTAACGTTTTCGAGGAAGAAATTGTTTGCAGAATAACCGACTATCATTTTCGGTTTTTCGTCGGAGTCCCTGTTCGACATCTTGTGCCCCAATAATCAGTGAGGCACAGGATGGCGAACAGACTTGCACAAAATAGGCATTATACAAGCTAAGCAACCCGCGAACGGAACGGACGAGTCGTAGGTGTGTTCCTATTAACTAATATTATAAAAACGACTGGAACTGGAACGAATCTAAAATACATGTATATACCGTTACAATGCTAGGTTATCTCTCAGCAACATAGAATATATTTATTACTAGACGAAAATAGAAATCCCCACAAAAACTTTAAATAATGTAAGATGTAAATTACCACCCTTGCGAAGCCGATATCGGACGTTTGTTATATTATACCCAAATTTTGACTTGCATATTTTTATTAAGCTAGCTAGATTTAAATAAAATGTATTGATAAAATAATATGTCACACGAGAAATATGTTATGTTATGACACCTTTTTAAAATTTTTATTTTCTTTTAAAACATACCTACCTACATCTATCGTAAATCAGTGAATACTAATATGTAATTTAGTTAAAGGTATTTGAATATAAGATATCATTTAAATATCTGTATAGTCAACAAGAGTAGTATTAGATCATATTGTTGATTTATTTACACATATGATGCATGTATATATCTAACATATGGGATTGATAAAGTTAGATCGACTAAGTTGAAGGCGATAGTTTGTGCTCCCGTGGTGTGGACCGCTACTGCAGTTCGCGTTTAGGACTTTGTTATAGAGGAGATATCTTTATATATATATACAAGACAAGTAACTAAAATTTTATAACAATTAGGTTATATAATTTTAGTATTATAAATATTATAAATTACAAAAAAACCCTTAAATATTACATTTTATTTAAAATTGTGATGGAGTAGATATGACTCGTCGTGGTACGTAACTATAATTGCACAAAAATATATGTGTTTTATATATATATATATATATATAAATGTATGTGTTAATATATATATAACACATATATTGTGTGGTATATAAATATTTTTTCTGTAAATGAAATTCGAAGCAAGCTTACTATAAACAACGGCAACCACTTGTCATCAGGTGGGCCCTGATGACAAGTGGTTGCCGTTGTTTATATACGAGAAAATGCACAGCATTACGGATATTGTTGAGAAACCTCTTTAGTTTAACTTTTTATATTTAAAAAGTAATGTATTATAAAATTTTGATAATTCGTTCCACAGATTATTGTAAAAGATGACATTATATTTTTCTTTCTGAATTTACTAAAATATTTCTTCCAAAATATCAATCCAAAAAATATCATGGCACTTTATTCCACCTCAAGCGCCATGGTGGGGTGGATGGTGGTAGCGTATGGTTCGTACTATAAAAGAAATTTTGAGGAGAGTTTTAGGCAAAGCTGATCAGTTAGAAAAAGAATTGTTCACTGTACTTTGCGAAACAGAAGCTGTTATTAATTCACGTCCTCTGACTATAGTAGATAGTACTGAAAAATTTAAAGCTCTCACTCCTGCTATGTTTCTTAAGTTACTACTCGTTATAGTTATATCGAAAAAGTTAATACATATCTACAACAGAGATTTCGGTCAGAATATTTATCTTTATTAGTACAAAAGAACTCTAAATACGAGAACAATCTCAAACCTGGGGATATCGTGCTTATAGGTTCAGATGATTTGAAGCGCGTTAACTGGTCTTTAGGTCTCATTTTAGAGATATATTTAGGTGTTGATAATGTCGGTGCACGTGTAGCACGTGTTAAAGCAGCAAAGGGTGAACGTGTTCGTGCACTACAACGTTTATTTCCTTTAGAGTTATCGAGGTTAGAGAGTATTCAGTTTCCACAGTCATCAGGGTCAAATAATAAAGTCGCAGATCCCGCTCTTGAGCCCGACAATCTTAACAACGACAACACGTTCTGGTCGTCCTGTGAAACTGCCTCGACGCCTAAACCTGTGATTTATTTTTATTTTATTATTGTGCTTTAGTATTGCGCACGCGCAAGGTGGGGTGTATGTTGTGAAACTTCTTTAGTTTAACTTTTTATATTTAAAAAAAATGTATTATAAAATTTTGATAGTTCGTTCCACAGATTCTTGTAAAATGTGACATTATATTTTTCTTTCTGAATTTACTAAAATATTTTATTTCTTTATATAATAGAATATATATAATTAGTAGATTGATTAGAAAGTGTGATTCATCTATAAATCCACTTATCCTATGTACCTGCTGTCCCGGAACCTACTATCTATATCTTTATCTATAACATCATCGATTTATCCAATCCATCACAGATATTATGTCATAATATGACGTCTATAGTAATCATGATGTTTCCATCTACATACCCGTTAATTTGAAAAAAAATGTTATCTCATACTTATTTCAACAGAAACACCACTACCATTATTATCCAGCTACCCAAGGTTATATGTATGTAATTTGATGCGAGTACAAATTGTAGGCAAAGTACTGCAGGTCAAATGAAATATGTATATGTAAAAAAACAAAAATAGTTTTAACAGACGCACAAGAGGTATTATTAGTGGTCAGGCCCTGGCAATTTTTGTCATAATTTTTTTAATGGATGATAATGGAATGGTGCACCCATCTGTGCTAATCTATAAAGAATTTTCCACTCATATCTTTACTAATATAATGATGTGGAATTTGGCTGTTTGGTTGAACGCGTAAATCTTAGGATGTACTGTTTTAAATAGGAAAAATCGTACAGTCTTGAATAGACAATTTATAGAATAAGCGTGTTGGCTCTTAAAATTACGTTACGACTAGGAACTCACAATTAATGAAAAATATCTTATGTAACGAATAAGGATTATACCAGTTCAGTAGTACATATAAGTATACCTGTAACAGATAGTTGCTATTTTCAATCATGGGGTTTATTACCTGACCTTCCCGTTAGTAGGTACAAGCGCATTAAATATGTTTTTACACAGGACACAAACAAATATACCAATAGATATAAAAAACGGAACAAAGTAAACAGCACAGATGGCATTCATGAAATACTGTAATGTTTGTATTTCATTGTTCATAAATTTGGATTATCATGGATCGGGCCACGGTCAGCCTATGTTTTAATGTAATGCATTGAATTAGGATTTATTTGCTCCATTATTCATTGCCGACTGGGCGACTCTCTAGTATATTACATACGATTGTCTAACGAGCAACAATAAGTATTATGTTTATTTCTTAAAGAATTATTAAAAGAAAGACTACTCCGTAAAGTTAGAATCATTCATTATTAACATATTAATTAGTTCGTTCCAATCAAAGTCTTTTTTGCTACATTATTCTTTAACGTAAAAAAAAAACGGAATGTATTGTAACATTCAAAATACTTCAACAATATACTGACATAACGTCTCCTACATTATACAGATTTTGCGTGGCAAAATTATACGGCTTAAAATATATGACGTAATCTATGTACGTAAACATGATTTTATAGGATTCTGCTCTGTAACGGACGTTCGCACGGACAAACACGAGTTGGGTTTAATTTTACCCTTTTCTGATAAAAAAAAAACAATATTTGTTTGGAACCCTCGATTTGCAAGTCCAACTTAAACTTTACCGGTTTCTTTATTTATTATTGTACGTATTGTACAAAAGAAATAAGCTACACAGTACATTTTTATATTTTAATAAACAATGTTTTTATCGTCTCACGCCCAACTCAAAATTTACTGAGTTTAAACTTTTATGGTTTTCCAATAATGGTTATGTATAGCTTTTAAATTTGTATATAAGACGACAAACAAGTATTTTCTTGGGAATATTTTCGATGTAAACTTTCGTATCAGAGGTGCGGTTAATGTGTTTGTTTGTTGGACGTTGGGGAATCTCGAGATTACATGGTTTTATTGTGCAATAACAAAAGAGACAGCGTTATTCCAATGACATTTCTTATTTAATTACATAAATGTGTTTTTTTTTTATATAGAAATATATATGAATATTTAATATAGAAATAGTTCTGGAAGGAGATAAATTATAACGACTTATTTATTATTGATATAAAATACCATTATTTTGTTGTGCTTTAGATTCTTTTGTGGACGGCAGAAGATATATATGATATGAAGATATATACAATTATAACGTTGCATTGAAGTATGTGTGTATTACATTATAAAAGAGGTATATTATTGGTTAGGCTACACCATAAGTGGTGACTATATCTTGCGTTTCAGCATAGATAAGAGAATATTGGTTAACGATTACCGAGTAACCGATTATGCGTAGGAACGAGGATAATATTTTAAGAAAGGTGTTACAAATGAATGTGGATGGTTATAAGGGCAGAGGAAGGCCGAAAAAGAGATGGATGGACTGTGTGAAAGATGATATGGTAAGAAAGGAAGTAAATAACGCGATGACTGCGAACAGGGATGAATGGAAGCGAAAAACATATTACGCCGACCCCAAATAAATGGGATAAAGAAGAAGCAGATGATGATCATGATGATGATTACCGAGTAACCGGGTAACCGAGTAGTATTAGTATTGGTAATCGTCACCGAGCTAGGGTCTAATTTGTATTGTCAGTATCGTCCGTCAGTAATTATAATGAGCCCTAGTGAAAGTCAGCTACAGATAAATCTGTTCTTGTTTAGGAAATTTTAACAGTTTTCTACTAATTAAATAAAAAGGACTATCTAACTTCTTAAGAAATATAATTGAAGTACTTGTACATATGGTTTCTATTTTAAGTTTGTTCATTAAAATGTAAAAAGGAAAGCGATATCTAGGCGTAAGTAGTATATAATATTATTAGTTCCCGTCGTCAATATTATATTTGTTTAGCAAACCATTAGTGAATTCATGGCATGGCATTCGTATAGCAATTCGCATTGTCAAAGTTCGTGACCAAGCTTAGATTTAAGTATACTTTTGAACTAATACACCCATACGTACTATTCAGTACGTATACGTATACGTATTCGAGTTTATAAACTAATTCTGTATTCTGAAAGTGACTATACCTACACCTTGTTACCATGTAGGTAGGCATGTTTAAAATATTATTCGAAGCATATAATTAGTGGATGACTGTGAGGTACAAAAAGAATGACCAAATTGTATCTAAATTCTAATATATACAACAGATGTTAAGTACTGTTTTTTATTCCATTATTATTCTTATATCCACACAAAACTTATATAGGACCACCTGTATAAGTTTTGTGTGGATTGTTTTGCAGTTTTCAGTTATTTACCGTTCTTGTAACATTTAGACACTTGACTGCTCTGTAGAGTTTTAAGTTGTCTGTAGGGATACAGTAAATAGATACTTCACACATTTGAGTGTCGTGGTTTGCTAAACCTAATAACACCCGTGCAATTGTGAGATAAATCTGGCCAGCATTGAAAAATTATTTTGTCTATTAATTTATGTTTCTGTCCAATTCTCCAGCGAAGGAACGCTGATATTAAATAAATAAAATCTCTGAAGAAGGCGGTAGGCTTGTCCCTTGCAATGTTGCATTACAATATATAAAGCGAAATTAGAGATGTCAAATGTGTGCATCACAATATTGATATTTAACCATACCTCTGACCCTCTGACTACCCCATCAGGGTCAGTAGTTAGCATTTGATTTTTTAATGTGTGTTTCCTTGCATATTCTGTGTACGAATATATCTATGAATGTATACTGATTTTACCTAAATAAAAGTATTTGACCAAAAAATCGGAGGTACGTACCTTTATAGATTGAGCTTCATATTTCGTTAAACCTCAGCTATATTGTGCAAGAAGTACCGTATATACATATATTTCCCTGTCACAACCCATGTTAAAAGTAGAATACCTACAAAGAATCTCCTGAGAGTTACGATTTAATTCGTAAGGGATTTGTTGTGTAGATACGACTTTTGAATGTGTGTATTAGGTACCAAAATATTTAAATTAAATATATATATATATATATTCTAAATATATATACTTATTTAGCCATTCCTCGTCTAGTTCACAATCTCGTAACTATTCTGATAGAGATATTCTGTCAACTATATTATTATTAGGATATTCGGCATCATTAGTAATTATAGACAAATTTACAAATTTTTAATGGTAGATAAAAGCTATAATGAATGATATATTATTAGATACCTATATTAAGTTTAATTAACATATTTTTTACGAAAAAATAGAATCAATTAGTATTCGCATAAGGTGAAAGGTGACAAAACAATGGTAGTAGATTCTTACTGGCTTATGTTAATTTCGACCTCAATAGAGAGTGCGCCGTGTCTATTACAGTACCGGTGTCATGAAATCAGTAACGAATTTAAGGTAATAGTTAAATAACATAGCCTAATGAAGGCATGGCATGTATTCTTATCAATATTATATGAAAGGTATAAGATAAAATCATTACCTAACTTATGGTAGGGTTAAGTTCACCAATATCTAGTTATTGCTTCAAATTAATTACTACATAAGTATCCTATTTTACATTATATACATGTATATTTTGCTGTTAATAGTTTTATTAAATGGTACATAAACAACAACAAAATTCTTTTTGTATAAATTTTCTAACAGAGTAGTATTTAATCTTTAAAACCCATATCTCACCTAATGGTATAAAAAAAAATAGTATTATTATAGAATTTTAGGTAAGTGCTTAATGCTTATATTATACTTACTACTGAATTTTCAGGGAGTTAATCTGTAGATAGAGCCATTATCCAGTTATAAATGAAAGACATCTGTTTTAAAAATTATAATACTTAACTGTAATACATTTATAGAGGATATTTATTTTCATTATTAGAGGAATAACATAGATTAAAATATATATTAAAGTTTAATTAAACTTTACTATATTATGCATAAACTTTATTATAATTTCTACAATGTTAAAAATTAAAATAATATTAATATATTGTAATAAAAATAAGATATAAAAGAAAATAATAAAAGTAAGGTGTTAAAGAATTATAATTTCTAAAGTTTAATATTTATTATCGTCGGGCATAAATGATTTTATATACAGATCATTATCAACTTCGTCTATAGGTAATGGGAAGTGAACTGGCGTTCCATCGCCTAATCTGTTAGCTATAGAGTTTATCATAAGTGGAGTAGCTTCTTTCAAGTCGTATGCCCAGCCTATTTTAGCGAACATCTTTATAAACCATGTTGTAAAATTAAATATATCAAAGTGCTCAGCAGCTTTGTAATCAAAAGGGAAAGCGTGGTGATAATTGTGCCAGCCTTCACCAAGTGTGCATGTGGCGACAAATCTGTTCTCAGATGGCCGTATGTTTCTGAAAATATTAAATTTACTTTCATTATAAGTTTGTGTTTCCCAGGGATTTTTGCAGTTAGTCCAATGTTTGAGTTAGTATTGTGGAAACCTATATTTGCTCACATTTTTTCATATCACTGTGCTATATGACTATGTAATATTTAAATGGCTGTCGGATTATTCCTTATTACTGGTTACTCCTTTTCTATGTAAACCTACCTTTTTTAAAAGACTTACATATTATGTATATTTAAGTCTATAAAAAAAGGTAGGTTTCTATGTATTTGTTTCATTTGTCTAGTACCTATAACACAAACTCTGCTCAGCTTGGGACTAGATAACGCTGTGTGAAATTATCCTGACATATTATTATTAATATTATAATATTCTGTTCTCTCGGATGTATAAGATGTATTTGTATGGAATGATGTGGGTGTATCTTGTGATGGAATGTCATTGAGATGAAAAAGAAAGTTAATAATTCTTATTCTGTCACCACAAGGAGAGTGTCTTCGAAATTTCTATATAGTTGTACACTTTTTACAATTATATATAAATTTCATTACATAGACACTCTGCTTGTGGTGACAGAATAAGAATTATCAACTTTGTGTGATAATGTTACTTACTTATTATAAGTTTTGTATCCATATATATGTGCGAGACTGTTGACCGTGAGTTCACTATGGAACATACCAAGAAATCGGATAAAGCATTGCCATGCAACTGCGCATCGCCAATTCTCATTCCACAGCCAAACACCAGCAGTAGTTGGTAGAATGAAGCAGAACATTAATTTTAAGAGTCCAAAGTACCTATAATGTAAAGAAAAATAAAAGCATAAATCTTAATCCTCACTAACCTTACTCTATAGTAACCTTACCTCTACACTAACCTTAATCTATACCAATACAAGACTGACACATACTAAAAAATGTACTACTTAGTTGTTTTCTTGTCAGTTCTATTCAAATTAATCTAGCCGCTAGTTGATATATTATTGTAAAAAAATATGTTGATTTGTTATTTATTTATTTTGTTGGGTTTATATAAATATTTTATCTAGAGATTGATCATGTCCTTTTAAGGAATTAGTTATTATGATGAACAGGTGACGGTTACCACTTACTATTATGTGGGTTCATCTTGTCATTGTAATTACATAAATGAAAACAAAAATTAATATTTGATATATTGAATTTTGTTCCTATATTAAATATCGAACAAATCATAAAAACTTGAAACTGGATATTGACAGTAAGGCTGGATTCACACTAAGGTGTATCACGGTTCATTCGCTCAGAGGAAACCAAAGGTGATGTTTATTAATGTAGTAATCTTTAGTAGTTACAGAGATAAGCACTTTCAACCAAACATAAATAAATTCATAGCTTCATATTTTTATATATATGTATAATTCTTCAGCACGTGTGTTGGTCACATAACTCTTCCTAAACACATGGACCGATTTAGATGAAATTTTGTGTATAATTGGACCGCAAGATAGGTGTCACTGCTTCACCGGGCAGAGGGAATTTCGTTAGTATTAGTACAGATTAATAAAGATAGTAAATTACCTTTCAAATAATACTACAGGTGGATCACTTTGAATGTCACTCATGTCTATTTGTTTCCCGCGGATTAGCACCTCTTCATTCTTTTTCATCATAAGCCAACCAATATGGGAGAAGAATAGTCCACGGTTTGCGTTATGTGGATCTGCATCTGTGTCGCTATGTTTGTGATGAACTCGGTGATCAAGGACCCATTGTTTCATAGAATTCTAAGTAATTAAATTTTGTTAACTCTACATATATTTTTACTTGACTAAAAAATAATGTAAAGTAATCTTGTTAGAAATAAATAGTTCTGGACTATATTGTCATCTTGTCAATCTAAGCGGAGCCACGAGCAAACGTATTATTTATACATAGCATACGTAACTGATATTTAAATATTTTTTATATGTCCAAAACGATTTATGAATAGGTATAATGGTAATGTGTATTGTATATAATATCAAATTTTCTCCTGTGACTTTTTCAAGTTGACCTTATTTTGTACTTATACCAGTCAATTGATGTTATTATCAATTGACTGGTATAAGAAAATGGTAATACCTATTACTTGTTTATGCCTATGTTATAAGCAAAGTTTATGCTAGTACGTTGTAAAGTTGCTTATACGAAAGTTAGACATTTGTGTCAGTCTAGCGTTTTTAAAAAAAAATTAATGCCATTACAGCAAATGTATAGTACTTACGATCGCGAGTTACTTGCTATTTAGGTACATGGCCGTAAAATATTTTAGGAAAATGCACGAAGGTCGCAAGCTTATTATCTATACTGATCATAAACCGTTAACTTTTGGTATTGATAAATAAGGGAATAATAACGAAACATCTAGGACGACAAGGGACTAATTAGCGTTACTGAATTAGTGCGTTCGTATTAACTTGTGGGCTAAGACCTGCATTAATTGTCAAATTTCGAAGATAGGTTATCATACGATAGCAGGATTAGGTAGTTTTGACTCTTGCAATCCAATCCATGGCATATGATAGCGTAGCGGCGTTTGTATTGATTTCCGCATGCATCCTTATGTAAAGTGCGAATACTGTAACTACCATATAATAAATTTAAGTAGCTACGATGAGGTCGAGTGGAATGAGTAGTCATGCTCACTAAAATGTCCAGACATGTGGCGGCGTGGCGGGCCGGGTCATTGGGCTCCCTAAAATATGGTTGAGCGCAGTGATGGCTGGCTCATCCGTCATACTCATGAACGAGTGCTGCTTGTAGGGACTGGTCTTCTCTTATCACTACGATTGATTTAATCTTATTGTGTTTTTATATTTGAGCCTAAATAAATTAGTGCTGGTTGAGTTTGTATTCACACGTTTCGACTTGTAAAATAGGAACTTACAAGGATTGTTTAAAAGAGCAACACATCAGTTTCTTGCTTATTCTTCTTGTGATGAGATAGCTTTCCAAATGATAGGTAGATTTAAAAAAAATTGTTGACTATTCAAAAGTGCTTAAATTAAGTTTATTTGAATAAATGATTTTCTATTCTATTATATTTGAACATATTCATGTATACCCTATATAGGTCCTTTACCGATATAGGATAAAGGTTATAAGTATTGTTTAACAACAGTAGACTTACCAAATGGCCAGAAGCCATACCAATTAAAGATATGTCCGTTGAAACGGTCGCTAAGAATGTTCATGACCACTGGATCGCTTGTGGCCGTTGTACAATTAGGTTTACCAGTGACCAAGTAGTCGACAGTTCGAAAGTACTTTATTTATAGAGCTTATGAAATTGTTAGATATTAAAAGGCAATTTATAGTCGAGAGATCGTCGAGTTATTCACAGAAATGTTAGGTTTACAAAACATATGCTAAAGCGACAGTCCCATAAGACCAGCAGACCTTGTGTATGGGTCCTCACTTAGCTTGCCTGGATATTTTTATGGGACAGACCAATGAATAGGTACATGATAAAAATGAAGGCACGTATTTAGATAAGTTAAGGAATATTATTAATAATCGTAAGCCGAATCGTAAAGGCGTGTCTTACGCAATTCTCGTATAATATTCGTACACGATGACTTACAAAAATGTAATTATGTTTTTGTTAGGAATGACGCAGTTCGCAAACCTTTGCAACCACCATACGAAGGTCTTTACTGTGCGATTCAAAGGAATGATAAAGTTTTTGTGTTAGATATGCCTAATAGAAATAATGTTTCGATTTCTATCGATCATCTTAAGCCAGCGTATATGTTGAATGAAACTGATATCAGATTTTTCAGATAATTTCAGATTGCGCAGGACCTATTGTCAAAAAATATTGCCGATCCTTGCAATATTAGTCACCATGTAAATGTATCACAACCAAGTACCGACTACTCGAAAAGGACACGGAGTGGTAGACTGGTTGAACGGTATGGTTCGATGATATATATTATTAATTAATGATAAAAATATATAATATTTTTTACGTTATCCTTACTTCCTTACTAATATTATAAATGCGAAAGTAACTCTGTCTGTCTGTCTGTCTCGCTTTCACGCCAAAACTACTGAACCGATTTAAATGAAATTTGGTACACAGATAGTCTAGACCCTGAGAAAGGACATAGGCTACTTTTTAATGCGAAAATTGGGATGTAAGGGGTTGAAATTGGGGATGAAAGATGGAATGATGTATGGAAGAATCGTGATTTTTGAAGCTAGAAGATTGAAACTTATTTTTGAGGCTGTTGATTAATTATAAATAAAGAAAAATGGGTTGTAAAGAATTTAAAGGAGAGTTAAATGTTTATATGGAAATATTGTCATTTTTAAAGCTAGAAGCTTGAAGTTTAATTTTTAACCAATTTTTCAATATATATTTAGAAAAAGAGTTATAAGGGGTTGAAAGAGTTATGTATGGAAGGGTCGTCATATTTGAAGCAAACAGGATGAAACTTTTTCATTTGGCTTTTAGTGGGTTAGGTCATAAAATTTTTTTTTCATTATTTGGTCAAGCTCACTATTTTACGCGGACGAAGTCGCGGGTACAGCTAGTATTGTATATGTAATAGATAATATATTTGTTAATTTATTTTTTTATTGAGATAAACATATTTTTATTATTTATTTTTTTACCTGTTTGTAATATCAATAACCAGTTAATGTAACAAATCACTATTGCTAGGCATAACTAATAAAACTCATATCTTACTTACAACATTTTATGCTAGAATTTGAAAGCCATGTAGAGATCTTGCAATCGCAAAGGATCTTTTCCTAATTTACACAGGCAGAATTTCAGTTTATTAATGACTTCATTCAAGCAGAAATATAGAAATTCATTTAATTAATCGGCAGTAATCGAAGTTTATTGCAATACAACTTTATATCACAGTTGTTTTATAGCTTGTGGTTTACTTAATTTAAACCGAAATAGTAAACAAGATGATGACCCATTTGTAATCAGCAAACTAAGCCTTTATACATAAATAGCACCACTTCCTTCACATCGTAACGTTCCTAAAGGTTTCCTTTTACTCTGTAGTGTGATTTCACTGCTCATGGTTCAAAACGAAACATGTTTACAAGCCAGCTACTGAGTTGCGGATATACTTATGTAGAAGGTAGAGTTGTCCACGCGGACGCCTTTGTTGAAAGTCTACTGGGGTAGGAAAAATACTAGTAATATTATATATTGCACAGTTTAATTTATTATATTTAAAGTAGTTAATAATTTGTCTATTTCTATTCGATTTACATACCTGACCAGCAGCAGCGAAGCAAGTCAGAAGAAATATTTTCATAGGAAGTCTAGCTTTGTAGGATTTGTGAGTCCATAACCGATGCGCACCACCAGTAATGCCGAAACCAGTTAATATATACATTATCAATGCTAGAAACAAAAGTGAACTTTACAACATCTTAAATACTTTACAGGAACGTTTCAGTGTAATTATTCTGTCTGTCAAATAAATTATTCCTTCGTTATACTATTGTAAATATGTACATACGTACTTTAGTCGAAATCTAAAATAAATTAAAGATTTTGGATTTTTCTTTAGCTTGATGATTTCTCATTTGCTTAATATTAAAACTACATCTAGATTTATTATGTCAGATTCTGTTTATACTCTGCAACCAAGTGGACAAAGCCGAAGTTTAGTTTCTTTTTCTTCAAGTTGTATTATATATATTTTAAACTTGAAGTGCAGGTGTACTTTCATCTTTCTAATATTGTACCTATTGTTACGCATGTAAGTCATTGTAACAGTGTAATTCCTACAATAATGTTATATATAAAATTTTCATTTTTTCGACAAATCTACTTTTTTATAATGAGGCATTAAAAATACATACAAAACTAAATTTTCACCCTTCTACCATTATATTTTAAAAGCGATTTTAATTTATATGAGAAAACAACATTTGCGCGGTCATCTACTTTTAAATATATCTATTTATTTCCTGAAATGACACGAACTCTCTAATACTTACCAAATAATAGTGTCTGCCATTTGACCGGAAATGCATAATTATAACACCAATAAATTCCAATTAAATGATATAATGTGATTGCAATGAAAACAAACCACTTAATGTCATTTTTAAATCCTAATTTTCTTTCAAATTCTTTGAACAATTCACTATGCCACCAATGTTGTGTTTTATTTTTCATGTTGCTCACTCATTAAATTTTATAATTTGATGGACGTACGGATTTTTTTATATTTATTCTGAACAACGGGAACAACTTCTTCATATAATAGCAACTATTAAACGAATCGGGACGAACTGAGGAACTTACTAATGTTAAGAATTTACATACAAATAAATTAACAATCGATTCATGTTAATGAAACATGACCTAAGCTTCTTTAAATCATCGGGTACTTTGTGTTTGGACAGAAAGTAATAATAAGGTTGGTAATAATGTCTGTTGAATTCGTCTAGTGAAATTTTTCTCTTATGATCCTATATTTTCAATATAGATCATTTACCTATACTGGCTGTATAATATACGACTTTCTTTATTTGTCAAAATTAAATTATTTAAGTTTACAGCACATTGATTGTGCACTAATATGCTCTTTTTACAACCGTAGTTCGAACTGTATTTCTGTTGGATTAATGACTAGCTATTTTTATTATTATGTAAATAACTATCATTATTAAGTATAGACAGACATTACTATTAGTCATAGAATTCGTTTGATAGAAGAAGGAGTCATGAGATTCCTAATTACAATACAAGTTATTAAAAAGTAATTTAGGTAGATATTGTTGTAGTAATAAGAAAAAAGACTAGGTAAACGGAGAAAATATATTAATATAGACTACTGACAATTAGAAATAGAAAAAAGGAATTTGAAGTATCAAACAAGAATCTAAAAAGGAACTATAAATTTCAAAATACAAATTTAGATATAAAAAACACATTTCTTATTAGCCAGTTACAATACTCCCCCTTAATCAGAAATGGTTAAATAAGGCAAAAAAAAATACAAAAAAAATTATTTTGTCAACCCTATATTAATGATACACCTGCTATGTGTAAGGGGACCAAGCGGTTTTGTTAATACATCAGCGGGCATATCGCTGCTTTTCAGATATTCTAAAAATATAATATCATTGGACACCATTTCTCTAATAAAGTGAAAACGTGTATCTATATGCTTCGTTCTGTTGTGATGAACAGGATTATTTACCAAATTTAAGGCACTCCGACTATCTGACATTATTTTAATAGGATATAGTCTACCTGTAATTTCTGATATAAAGCGACGCAGGTAACATGCTTCCTTTGACGTAGATGTAAGAGCCATGTATTCTGCTTCAGTAGATGAAAGTCCTACAGTACGTTGTTTCTTTGCTTCCCATGCTACTGGCCCATCTGCTAACATAAATACGTAACCAGTATACGACTTTCTGTCAATTGGACAGTTAGCGTCGGAGTAGCCCATTAAAGATTTTCCTGTTCTTTTATATATTAAGGAGTAATCTAAAGTACCCTTAAGATATTGTAGAATTCTCTTTGCTGCAAGCCAATGTTCTTTCGAATAACATGTATTAAATTGACTTAGGTAACTCACCGCGTAAGAGATATCTGGTGTTGTCTTGCCGTCTAGATTCTTTTCTAGCTTCTTTAAAGATAAGGGAGTACTTGCAGTTTTACAATTACTCATGTTGAACTTATGAGTATGGATAAGATATAGTTTGTTTGACTAATTTTAATAGACTCTTCAGTACAATTTATTTCTAATCCTAAATAAGATTTCAAATTTCCAAGATCTTTTAAGCCAAAATATTTTTGTAAATCTTTCTTGACAGTGTCAAATATACTGTCAGTTTTATAATATATAATTATGTCATCTACATACACTCCGAGTATGACAAGTTCATTATCAAAAAGTTTTGTATACACACAAGACTCGGACGGAGTTCCAATAAATCCGATTTTTAGAAATGTCTCGTCTAACTTTTTATTCCATGCACGTGGAGCTTGTTTTAAACCGTAGAGGGACTTCCGCAACAGGCAAATTTTATTTTCTTGCCCTTTTTTAATGAAACCAAATGGTTGTTCCATAAAGACTTCCTCTTCTAAATCTCCATTTAGAAACGCCGTATCAATGTTTATATGTCTCATTTTGAGACCTAATTCACCACTCAAAGCAAATAATGTGTTTAATGAAGAATGATAAATGACAGGTGCCAAGGTTTCGTAGTAGTCTACGCCTTTTGTTTGTTTGAACCCTTTTACTACAAGTCTGGCCTTGTATTTAGTAATATTGCCATAAGCAGTTTTAGTTTGTAGTATATCCACTTACAGGGTATTATTTTCTTATCAACTGGTCTATTTACAAGCTCCCATGTGTGATGTTTTAATAGGGATTTGTGTTCATCAGTCATTGCAGATATCCAACTGTTAGCATCTTTAGAAAGGATTGCTTCATGGTAGGTTGTCGGCTCATCTGAATCTAGAAAAACTTGATAAGTTAGAAAATTTGGAGGTTTCCGGTTTCTAGAAGGATACCTCGGTTCATTGTTTTGTGGTTGTTCCAGACCGACACCCTCCGTATTTACAGAGCTATGTGGTTCAGTTTCAGAGTTAGAGTTAGAGAGTTACAGTCATAAAACTCATTATCGTCTCCACCAATGTCAATATTATCTTCAAATAATAACAAGGGATTCCTTTCGAGTTCAGTCTCCGACTGTGTTTCATGTAGAGTTTTAAATGAATTTTCAAAAAAGATTGCGTCTCTAGACTTCAAAACCCTTCTTGGATTAGCAGGATCTCGAAAGATGTAAGTATTATGATCCTCTGAATATCCAACAAATATTGCTTCCTCTGCTTTCATGTCTAGTTTCTTTCGTTGACATGAAGGTATATGAACTAGGGCTCTACACCCAAATACCTTCAGATGACTGAGATCACTTCTCCGACCGCACCATTTATCGTAAGGTATCTGACCATTCAGAGAACGATGAGGGGACCTGTTTTTTAAGTATACAGCTGTTTGGACTGTATCTTCCCAATAGGCAGGTGGCAGTAAGCTTTCCGCCAACAGGGATCGTGCCTTCTCCTGTGGGCTATATGGAGCAGCAGTTTGATGCACAATACCTTTTGAGGAAAGGTAGTCAGTAAATTCTTTATTGACGTACTCTTTACCACCATCAGTCCTAAGAGCTTTTATGCTAGTACTTAACTGATTTTCAACTAGAACTTGATATATGCAGAATTCATTTTTGACTTCATTTTTACATGATATAAAGTAAACAAAAATGTTACGTGTAAAGTCATCTATGAAAGTTAGTATATACTTATTTCCATAGAAAGATGTAGTGGGCATTTGTCCGCACAGGTCACTATGTACCAATTCTAGTGGTGACGTTGCTTTGCAATATGAAGGTAACCGTTTAAATGGTTTCCTAGTTTGTTTACCTTGAACACAAGCGATGCAATTACTTTTGTTTACTTTAATGAAGTCTAGACCTACATTTTGATTCTTGAGTTGGTTCATGCCTATGCGACATAAATGCCCTAATCGTTTATGCCAGAGTAAATACTTGTCTAGACAGTCAGAATGCACATTCTCCGCAATATAATTATAGTCATCCACTTTGTGAGGGATATTAACAGTACAGTCGACTGTGTACAGTCCTCCACAGGGAGAAGCATGAAGTACAGAATCACCTGTAATACAAACAACATCTCTTTTATAAAAGTTACAACAGCTTTTATCAAAGACACATACAAAACCTTTCTCAATAGCTTTTTGAACAGATATGAGGTTAGCCTTTAATTGCGGAACAAAAGCAACATCATTTATTGAATTTACTGAATTTCTAGGAGTATTAATTGAGCTATTTCCTATACCACAACATTCAATTTGATCTCCGTAAACAACAGTAACATTACCACAATTTGAATACGTGATATTCTCAAACCAATCTTTTCGAGAAGTCATGTGTTTAGTAGCACCGGAGTCCACATACCAAATATCCCTATTTGAGCAACAAGAAGTGTTGAGTGCAGTTAATGAGGCAGTAACATTCTCTTCACCCGCTACATTTACCCTTTCCTTCTTTCGCAAGGGACATTCTGGTCGTTTATGCCCTGGAACTTTACAGTCATAACACACGATTTCTTTTTTTTTTAATGTTACGCTGTACAGTTTTTGTTTGTAGTACTGTATCATTGGTAGTTTCTTTAGACATTTCATTCAAGAGTTTTGTTTTAACTAAAGACGACGTCACATTTATATTGCAGTTTTCTAATGCCATAATCAAGGGGTCATATTTTGATGTGAGGCCTCCTAGAAGTATAGCAGCTACAGATGAATCATCAATAAATTTGTCAATGTCAGCTAAGCTTTGAACAGTTGACATAACAGCATTTATATATTCTTCTATATTTTTAAAGTTTGATAGACTTAATCTATACAATTTTCGCTCCAATGCCAATCTACGCCCCATTCCTCTCTCTTCAAAAGCATCTTGCAGCGATGTCCATGCTTCGATCGCTGTCTGAGCATATTTCACATGAATCATCGCTCCACCGTCTACTGTTAGACATATCTTTGCTAGTGCCTTTTTATCATTCCTTGCCTTAACCGATGCAGGTGTCTGATCATTCTCAGCGTAACCGCTTATTGATGACCATAGATCCTCGTGTAGTAAATAGTTGCGCATTTTGAACTTCCACGAAGGATACTCTTCTCTATTTGTAAGGCAGAAAGTCGGAATGGATGAGGAATTTGACTTACTGTGTGAATTGTCTCCGCATCCTTCTTGTGACATTTTTTGACAGGAATAATATAATATTTTTCCTTATTAGCACAAAAAATAAATCACAAAAAAAATTTTTCTTTTTCCATAATATATTTTCTCCGTTTACCTAGTCTTTTTTCTTATTACTACAACACGTTATCAGCACGAGCTTAATACATTATAGATAATTCGAGCTAGAAAAAGAAATTTTTGTGATTTTTTTTGTGCTAATAAGGAAAAATATTATTCCTGTCAAAAATGTCACATGAAGGAAGCGGAGAAAATATATTAATATAGACTACCTACTGACAATTAGGAATAGAAAAAAGGAATTTGAAGTATCAAACAAGAATCTAAATAGGAACTATACTCTTAAAATATAAATTTAGATATAAAAACACATTTCTTATTAGCCAGTTACAATAGATATACTATTCCCATTTTTTTACATCTTGTATGATTTGTATGTAACGATATGTTTTATTGGTGATAATACTAGACTATTGCATAATAATAGTCTTATGACTCGTTTGAGAAACGTACGAAAC